GAGCTGGAGTACGACTCGGAGCACAGCGACTGGCTCGGTTTCGACTGACCCCTGGGACTGCCCCCGGACCTGCAGGGACCCCGACCCGGGACAGACACCCGTGCGCTGCCGCTTCCCGGCCCCTGCAGCCCCCCGGGACAGGCTTTTGGGGGGATTTTGCCTCTGGAATGTGGAGCTGGGCTCGAGCAGGAGCCACCTCGCACCTCCCGCGGCCCCGCGGCTGTGTCTGCCCGGCGCCAAGGGTTTTTCAAGGGTTGCCAAGCGTTGCCAAGCGTCTCCACTGCTGCTCCTGCTCACACTTGGGCCTCTTGGCCTCTCTTTTTCCCTCTTTTTCTCCTTATTTATCTTTTCCCCATCTTTTTATCTTTTTTCCTCTCTTTTTTCTTTTGCTCTTTTTTCCTCCCTTCTTTTTTATTTCATTTTTTCCTCTTTTTCCCTTCTTTCCCTTTTCATTGTTTTTCCCTATTTTTCTCTTTCTCCCTTCTTTTCCTCTTCCCTATTTTTCCCTCTCCCTCTCTTTCTCTCCTTTCCTCTTTTTCTTTTTGACCTCTATCTCCTTTCTCTTGCTTTTTCTCTTTTTCCTTCTTTTTATTTTTCTCTTTTTTTCTCCCTCCTGTCCTCTTTTTTCTTTTGTTTCCTTTTTTCCCCTCTTTTCTCCCTCTCTCCCGCTGTTTTCCCAAGATGACTCTGTACAGCCCCAGGAGGTTTCTGTGCCTATACATATATGTATATATAAATACAGAGATATCTTGCATGCCTTGGAGGGCCTGGGGGGTCCTGGGGGCGGGTGGAACTCCAAACCCCCTTGTGCACCAACAAATTCCCCTGGGAAAGGGCTGGAGCCAAATCCCCTCCCATCACCCCCCTGGGTGCTCGGGGAGGGACACAGGGGACACCTCCAGGCTGAGGGGGCTCAGGGACACTCATTGTGCACCCCAGGGGGTGTTCGGGGTGGGAGGTGTCCATGGATAACGTTGGGGGGGCACATTCCAGTTGGGGGGTGGGAAGGTGTGGGGGCTGTGCCCCCCATATCACTGTCCCTCAGAGTGCGTTAGATATATACAAGTAGAACTGGGTGAGGGTCATGGGGATTTGGGGGTCCCATGTGGTCCTTATCATGTCTGGGGGCACCCTGAGCTCTCCTCCCCAAGCCCCTGACCCACTTGGGGGGCAGCCAGCCCCCAGCCCCCCATGGGGGTCCCAAAACAGCACTTTGGGGGTCCCCTCTGTCTGGGGGGGCACAGTGGGTGGCAGGTCCTGGGGGGGGCTCAGCTGGAGAGAAAGTCCATGGTGGCATATTCCAAGGGGTCCCCATGGCACTGGAGGTCTCACAGTTGGAGAGGAAGTCCATGGTGGCATGTTCCAGGGTCTCAGCTGGAGATGAAGTTGATGGTGGCACAACCCAGGGCATCTCAACTGGAGAGGAAGCCCATGGTGTCAGGTCCAGGCTCTCTCAGCTGTAGACGAAGCCCATGGTGTGAGGTCCCAGGACGCCTCAGTTGGAGAGGAAGTCGATGGTGGCCCGGACGGTCTTGGCGGTGCGGATGTCCATGGCAGTGACCTTGATCTCGGTGTCCCCGAACTGCATGCTGGTGCGGATCTCACGCCGTGCCCGCGCATCCCCCTCGGGCCCCACGTGCCCTTCGTCCCCCAGCTCGAGGCTGATGGTGCCGCAGCGGCGCACGCCCGGGTCGGTGATGTACACCACCCCGTCCCTGGCGCAGCAGTAGATGTTGATGAGGGTCCTGCGCTGGCCGGGCCGTGCGGGGCAGTAGCTGCGCTGCACCACCTCCCCCAGGGCCACCGACTGATCCATGGCCACGAACTTCTCGAAGATGTCCGTGCACCACTTCTTGCCCTCCTTGACCAGCAGCTTCTCCCGCGGGTGCTTCCCCTCCACGAACTTGTTGAGGACCCCCACGCCGTAGGTGAGGGGGGAGCGGCGCACCCGCACTACGG